AAGCAACCTATAGTTAACATTAGAAAATATCACTAAGTATTAATGTTACCGACTGCAGTAGCTGTTGTTCATTGTACCACAGATTTTTTATTGCCAAAGCGTAAGAAATATTAACCTATCTATGGAATGCTCTGCTATACTCTTATGTTTGCCTATATCACAACAGAGGACTGTCGCCAAGCTGATTCCGACTATACATCGTCTTTATTTGTTAAAGTTTAAAAAAAAGTCTAGTGACATTAATGCGCAATTTCCTTATGTTATCTAAAAATAGCTCTGACGTATAATGCTGGGATGCGTTCAAGCTAGAAGAACGATCGGTTTGTAGGTGTTTATGTAATTTTAAAATTTGTGACTAAACGAGAGGATATTTTTGAAAACTTTCTTCGGCAATATTGTTCTAAATTATGGCAGGAATCGATTGGTACATGTTTCAAGTCGCTAAGTGGTCTGGTTGCCGAGATATGGGCCAAAAACTGCATTTTTTCGAGGTTTTTTGGCTTTTCCGGGAAATACATGAAAGAAACCCGGAATTTTTATGGCCTATGCTCATTCTCGTAACTTGCTTAACATAATTGCTTTTGGAACTAGTCATCGATATTGCTTCGTTGAGGAGGAGATACGACTTAAAGCCCGGACACACATTCATCCATACATTCATTCATCCATCCATCCATCCATTCCCAGAAATGACGCGTTAATAAACGCAATTCTCCAGAATGGAAATTGCGCTAAAAAACCTCCTTTGTACAGTGATTATTGTAAACAAAACTCGACATCGGTTTCGTAGTCTGACATCTTATAATACAACACAGCGAGACCCGTGTGTCGTGGGGTGTTTGCTAATGACCAACAGAACTGCAAGAAATGTCAAAGTAGTTCGGGCTTACCTTAATAAACCACGCGCCCTTGTTGCCATTACTCTATTTAAAAAAAGACTTCTCTTTGGCATTAACTTATCTTAGGTAGGCTTTTTCCTCCTTGTTTCCCGCGGAGTTAGCCAAAATTGAATTTTAGGCAAGCTAGCTATTAGTCTAGTAAAGTGCGGTATAGAAGAAAAAGAACCAGCTACCACACTCGGCAATGAATGTTTGAAACTACAAGTCAAGCACACGATATTATGGACAACGGAAGTCTCAAAGGGAGTACATTTATATAAACATTTATAAATCAACGGTTAAAAATATCGTAAAACGAATTTTAAAAAACAATAGTTATATCGGACTTGAAAGCTTATAAAAATTAAAAAGGGTAAAATCTTCACTCAATTTGTAACCCACACAAATTAGTACTAAAAGAAATCTCCAATTTTTATAACTGAAATGTAATAATGGATGGACATAAACCAATGATTGAATACAATAAATACGGTCCACAAAAATACTCTATATCCAATACTCTAAACTGGACTTTTACTTAATTAAGTAAACGTATATATTAAAAGCCCATACTTTTAGGTGATTTGGAACTCGAGTTCAAAAGTAACTTTATATAGGTCTACAATGAAGCAAAGTAAATGGAATTACCGTGAAAGCTAATGAGATAAATCAAATACAAGTCTCTCAAGTAGAGATAGCTAGAGAGCACGAAAGAGGCTGGACTGACCATTGTTCACATTATGAATGTAACCTGGACAAAGTAATGGCCACACGCCTTATTCGATCTCAGGAAATGGGTATGACCGGAGAAGTCTTAAAGAAGGCCAATGAAATAGGGACTCGGTCAATAGACTTAGTAGAATAGCGGGGGGGGGGGGGGGCGTACAACAGAAAGACCACTACGCGATCAAAATGTAGCGTCCACAAATATTTGTGCGTGGACCCTTGAATCAAAATACTGACCATACATCGCATAATGTTCCAACGAAGAAAAAAAAATCTGCTATGTACTGCTTTAAATAGAAAGTCAAAAAGAAAAAAAAATAGTAGGGAGGGGGGAAGGGATTTCACTAGATACGTTTTGTCGAAGTCCGAGTTTAAAAATAAAAACAAGTAGGCATACTATTACTAAATGAATAGCCGTCCTCCTTAATATTACTTCCATGTTTAAGTCTGAATGAGTAACGTTCACATCTAGTACGATGCGCTCAACCAAAATGTGTGAGCAAAAAGATGTTAGTGAATCTGAGTTTGACCCTCGCCTCTGAGTGACCCCAGACTAATATAATTTGGAAGACCCAATTACGAGTTGATACACCCAACGCAATCTTGGCTACATGTGCCTAATGGCCGTGGTTTCATGATTAGTGAACCGGCAAATATTCACTGTCTTCATTCTATCTTACAGCACGTGCCAATGTAGTGGGGAAGACAACATGCATGAAATAAACACGGAAAATATCAATTAATATCACTCAATGCTGTAACCCGTTTAACACCGACAACATTAAAGGGTATCTTTAAAAAATGCCCAAGAAACAATTCTCAAAGCTTTGAAATGAGTCCGCCGCACGCCATGTCTTGCGCGGACCGCAACTACACACATTGTGTCCACCTGATTTAGTTAGATCGTAATTTAAAAAGTCAGGAGAGTCAAACTAAACAATCAATAACAGCTGAGAACAAAAGGTAAGGCGTTGTCAGTTGGTATGGTGAGTTAGAAAGCATTAAAAATACTTTTTTTTTGGGGGAAGAAAAAGAATAATCACGGGGACTATAGTAAAAAAAAATGTGTACATTGTGAATGTAGGATACATGTATAGTTTTAATAATTAATATCCCATTTAAATTATAACCCTGTGGACTACAAAGAATATCTGACTCCCCACCATTTGCAAATGCACAAAATGGATTTAAGTCAGACCACCCTACACTTTGCTAGTGTGCACGTCACAACCAGGATGGTATCTTCAGCTTTAACACTTTAGACATACAACATATACGGCAATTGCAATGTTACAGATTCAGTTTTTTTAGAGGAAATGTTTAAAGATGATTAGAACTGCAGCACCAAAAACAGACGATAAAGCATGTATCAAAGTGGTAGAGCTGATATGTCTTACTGTCCCCTCTCTAATGGTAAAACAACACTGCATGATAAATACATGGATGTAGTGGCTGGGATATTGGTTAACGGCAGGGTAAAGCTAGTTATGATGAGGTCAATCACAGGGTTTTGAGTAAGCCTACTTGTTTACAGTAATGGTCTGAACAGATTTTGACAACCCTTGAAATGTTTTATATAATTATACAACACTTCCATACACAACATTGTTGTTGTATAATTGTTACATTGTAACGTTTTTAATAACACCACCCCCCTCCAAAAAATATATATAAAAGCCAGCATCAACAACAATATAACATGGGTACTGCTAAAACTGTGTTATGACAACTGCTACTTTAATCAAATGTCTCCTATGTTAGTAAAGTTGAGTCAAAATCTGTCACATAAGCACTATGTACAAGAAGTAGGAAATCTTAATGCTATAGTAAAATTTTACTTAATGTAGGTAATGTAGATAAGATCTTCAATTAGAAATTATTATTATTACATAAGAGTAAATGCAACACAACAAACAGTTCTAATACCAACAGAGAATTAATTTACAATGTTTATGATCCATTTGTACTTTTTCAATTGAATGATGACTTTTTCATAAAGAAAACTTAAGCTATATCACTATATCTGAGAAATTTGTTAATTTATTTAATTGGATTATAATAAATATACTAAAGTGGGCTCGACAGGGCAAACCCATCTCTCCTCACAATTTTCAGCTTTTTAAACCCTAAAATGTCTGATGTCAATTAAAAACAAACAGAACAACACTAAACCTATTTTAAATTTTACCTAGATTTGTGTTTGTCTGCAATACTCAATAGCCTAATTTGTACATATTTTTTCAGGGGTATGATAGACAATCAGATGGGCTAGAATAGCTGATATTAGGGGCTTCAATTAACTGTCTAGCTCTATAAATGATAGTGAAGATACAAAAACATTAGAGAAAAAAAATTCTCATAGAAACTATGTTATTATTAATACTCTGGGTATTAGAACAGCCTTTGTTAGCATAAACATGTTCTATTAGAAGTTGGGAGTTAGCAAACACACTTCCCAAACAAGGAATTCTCATGTTTGTAAGTCAGAACTCTATAACTTAATTCACAACATAACAGTTGCTGGTCTATTTGTAATAGCTGGTGGTCATTTTTGTTATCCCCCCAAACCAAATAACAAACACTACATATCCTCTGTGTAATGCTGTGTTCACATGCCTGAATTGAACTGTGTGAACTCACATTAACTAGGTCTTATTGATTTCAGTGTTCACTAAACAATTCTAATATAAACTAAATGCATTGTTGCATCTGCTTCACATACACCACATCATTCTATTCCATACAAACATTATAACATAAGCAGCAACTTAATTAGTACTCCGATATAATGAGTGTTTGCAGTTAGTGTTAGGTTCAGTGGTGTAGCATTGTTTGTCTAAGGGATTTAACTTCTTCTGATACAAAACATTCACCCAAACATAAGGTGCTAATGATGCTAGAGTCAGGTAGAGAAATTGATAGTAGTAACAGTCAAGTAGAAGATCAGCAGGAGAATCGATAAAATGCAACAGTGTGGGCAAGGAGGCACTACCTGTGCATTGCATTGTAAAAAATAGCTAGAACAGTGTCAACAATGTATTGGTTAAGTATTGACATAATTTATTCTTCAGGGAAAATAAGTATTTTACACTGATGAATGACATTGTTTCATGGGAAATGCTAAACCGTAAACAATGTAACCTGTTGTAATTGCAAAATTGTAAATATTGAGTTGCTATACTTGTTCACACATTTTAATAATTTTACTTGCTAATTGTATTTAATTAGATGAAAAATGTCCAACAAGGAAACAGGGATGAGCCAAAAAAATTAAGAAAGGTCAAGGGGAATTAACCTTGAAAAACATAAAGACATCTTTATCATGCAATTACTGCCACTTCTTAAGAAAATAAAAAGGAAATCTTAATTTCAAACAAAAATATAATTGAAACTCACATTGGTCTTCCATGTTCATCTTTTTCTATTGATGTTTCTGATACTCCTTCTTTAGCCATCAACATTTTGCGGAACATGTTCACCTTATCCCTTACTTCTTTCTCCGAGTAACTGTCGAAAACAAAAGAGCAAATTAGATTTTTATTAAGAATATATACCTTTAATAGGAAAGGAAATTCTTCAACAAGTATAGCTAGTAATTTTTCTAACTCAATTATAAAAAAACAACATCAACAACTGTAAAGTAATTACATTATTAAGATTTTAAAAAGGGCCACAGGGACAATAGCTATTTGCCATCAGTAAAACACTAAATGACTCATTGCAGTATGGAGACAAGTGTTAAAAAACCCAAAAACAACAAAAATGTTTAGACAACATTCTTTCTATGGGATGGAAACATTTATCTTAGGTCTTAATATACATAAGCTTAAAGATTTCTATTAATCTCCTCCTACATTTAAAAGAACTCTGAATTTATTGAAGAAGGTATTAGACTGTTGAAGGTTTTAAGGCTGTGTGCGGCACCGGATTTATGTGTGTTGGGTGTCAGATGTCGAATTTCAGTTTTGACCTAATTATTAAAGTATATCCATTTCTGAATACAAAACCACATAACATATTGTTGGAAAATGGTTATTTTTATTTTAAATTAATTTTTTTGTGAGGCATGTATATGCATGTTTTGTCTAATTTTTCAAAAACACTGCGAAAATTGCCAAAGTTTACTACTATAAAACATACAGATAACTAAAAATAGCTACCGCGTGTTTAGTATCTCCGGAAAGCTCCTTTTCTTGTCTATAACGACAAGGTAAATTTGTCAACCAATGAAAATATTCCATTTAATTTCGAATGTTCAAATGAAACACACTTTTTAAAGAGTTTGACCTACATATACCAAATTTTCCTACTCGGCCTTACCCCAGAAGCAAGGTAAAATTCTATTGGCTGGCGGACTCGGCATTATCAGTGTTAAAATTTTTGATTCGCTAGCTAGTTTATCGCTTCCGGCGTGCCTAGTGATGCACTCATTCTTGTTGTGGATATTCAATCAGCTGTTTACAAACTTTTTAGACAAATCTCATCGTATCAAATGTTTTTGTCGGTTTAATAATGTTTAAACTGTTTAGAAGTATCGTGATTTTATACCAGCCACCATTCTTTGTTGATTCACTGCTACTAGATTTAGTCTACACAAGCCTACGAGAAGAGTAAGCAGTGTTTTACGTGTGTGTGTAGTAAGTTATTACACAGCAAGAAATGCACTATCACCCTGTGATCGAACCCAAAACAGACTTATCAGATAGAACGATTTTGGTAATAACTTAAGTAATCCCCGGGTGAAGCTGGCCTAAACATGTTACAAGTGTCCTAATGCCTAACAAGGATAACAGAGTACACAACAAACTAGGCTCATGTGTTTTACAGTCTACAGCTGATTATGACAACTACAGCCTTAATTTTGTTTACAAGGAATAGATGCACGGACATCAAGCAGTGAGTATTTCAATATCCATTAAACTATTTGAATTTAAAGATTAATTAGTAGACCCACATATTTTTTTTAACATCTTATTTAGGTTAGTAGACCTGTTTGTTATTAGACTCATTAGTGGTTCAGATACTAGCTAGATCTAGATCTAGTTCAAAAGATTTTTATCTCCTCAAACTAATGAAGCAAATTCTATTCAGTGATTCTCCTAATCTTATATTCATACAATATATCATTATAGTTTTATGATTACTTTTCTTTTTACATTTGTATATTTTATTAATAAATTCATTTCCCCTATGATTTAGGCCTACAGTGTGTGTTGAAAACCCTGCAAGTTGTCCTGGTTCAAGGTAACTTTCCCTACACATAATTTTGTTTCACATAACAATATCTGGAGAAAATGATTGAAGAGCTAGTGACCAAGTGAACTCAGTGAAAGAATATGGCAACTTTTAAATACTGCAAAAAGGAAAATCATATATCCGAGTGACGGTAAACCGCTTTTCAAAATCTTGTTCTGGACCCAAAACAGTTGTAGAATTTATTTATAGCTTATAACTTACAATGATTTTGCAACTTAGTTTAGGATTCAATAAATATTCAATGCAAAATGTGTTTGTGGTAAAGTGTGGGTTTTTTTTGTCCACTGAAATAACTTGATGTTCTACTTTCCTTTATAGAATTGACCTTTGCCAAGAGAGAGCCAAGCAGTATGAAACCAGACAATAACTTAGAAAAAGAGCATTTATTTTGGTCAGTGCACAAGTATTAACAGGAAGAGATAAAAAGAGCTGAAGAGATGGACAAATCAATTATTATAGTTATAGTGGTAGCAAGGATTTAAAAAAAAACCCATTGAAACATTTTGCCGGATGACTAATCTGGAAAAAGAAAATGCTAGATGGCAGTAAAAAGTAGCAGTTGCCAAAATGAAATGTGAATATGCTTAACAAAATAGAACTGTTAGGTGTGGTTCAGCCCATTTTTTGAAACAGTTTATTTTAAGAAAATAAAAATGTATTTTACCTTTACGTATTTGACGCGTTATCTTTGTACGACAATTTTTTTACTTTATTATTTAAAATGTACTTGCAAGTTTAATACTTCATTGCATGTTTATATGTTAAATAAACCTGCATAAATTAAAACCAAATTTTGTTAGTATTTGTTAGGTTATGAATGAAATTTTTCATTTTTCTTTAGTTTTTTGCGTTTTTCTCAAAACGTTAAAATTCACTCTTCAAATCCCTACTCCTCTGTTAGTTCTGCATGTATTGTAATGAAACTTAGCCGGATTATTCTTCTAACATATATAAACAACTTCTATAAAGCATTTTTTAAAGATTTTTCTTACTTTAGATTTTATGGACTGAAATATGTTGAATTTGAGCAAATTTCAGCTTTTTTTAAAAGTCTAGGATTTAAAAATTAAAAATAATTTTTTTAAACCGTTTTCTTAAAAAGTACTTTATAGAAAGTTTCAGGCTAACATCACTCTACAAAATGCTTGTGTTTACCTCTAGTGGTTGCTGAGCCTTAGCATTTTGAAAATGATAAACAAAAATCCAATATGGCGGACGTAACCATGGCAACCAAAAATATTTTTCTTTTTGGACACCATTTTTAAAAATCCCATTGAGCATACATTATATGGGTGAAGTTTCAGTGAATTTGCTTGGCTAATAACAAAAAAGTGTTTTCCCTGTAGCTCCTAGCCTTAAGCAAGATAAGGGGCATAATACAGCTAACCCCCCCCCCCCCCCCCAGAATACTACAATTAAATAAAAACAAGCAACTGTAAACTAATGTTTCATCTTTCAAAAAAAAATCAACTGAAAATATCAAGGAAGAATTTAAAATAACAGATTGCTTTTTCTGATACTGATTCTTGCTTTTTTTTTTTGGTAAATGAATAATTAAAGCTTGCAGGTGATCCAGCCAGCCTGTGACTTTTCTATCTTTTCTATCTCAGTCTCAAATTGGGGAAGCCTGGTGATGAGTATCATATTGATTTATTGACTAGCTACTCAGAGACAGAATGTACAGCTCTAATGATGACGGCCCCCAACAAGAGCAATAGCAAGAAAAATCATTGCCACCCTGGGTTTATTTGGTTTGTTCAATGAGCGGCTTGAACAAATGGTGTTTTTATTCAGTCCAGGCTTAACTTTATTTGTAGACTACCCTTCGTCATTTTAGAGCTTCAGTCTTATTAGTTCTTTTTACTACTTTGATGTAATAAAACTAGCTAGTTAAAAAATCCAATTACAACATATTATTATACCCTTTTTGTAACCCAAAAACAGAAGAAAAAAAAATGTGAACAAGTTTTCTTCTAGAATAGAAAAAAGTATATTTATTACATTATATTTCACTAAGGCATTTATCCCAATTAAAAAAGCTACTTATCAAAACTGATTGTAACTTTTTTTAAAATTAAATACTAATGTTAAAACCATACTATTAAAATAAATAAAAATAGTTCTTTTTCACAAAATTTATTTACAGCTTATCCAAAGTGTATTGCAAGTAGTTAATTTCTCCCCAGCCACTTATAAACAAATAAATACTTACCCTTGTTCCTCCATCAGTTCCTGCATTTCCATACATTTTAGTTCGACTTTACGTTTTCTTTCATGATCAAGAATTTCCTTGTTTGGTTGTTTATTTAAACCTTGATCAAGCTTATTTAGTTCTTCTTCTGTCTTGTAATCAATCCTATCTTTCTTTGACTTCACAAATGCAAGATTTCGCTGAACATAACCATTAGTCCCACTTCCACGAGGGGTTTGAAGTCCAATTCCATTATACATGATGAATTAATTCTGAAAAATCACAAAACTGTCTGTTAAAATAATAAACAAAGTAGGCCTATTTCTAAAAATTGAAAGCAAACCATAATGTTGAACTTAAAAAAATGTAATTATTGTTAACATCTGTTGAATAATGAGGTTCTATTATCACTAGTTTTCTAATTGTATCAATTGGTATCAATCATATCCATTATAAGATACACATTTTAGTTTAGTTTTTCAGTTTTTATTAACCAGCATTTTAGTAATGTTTAATCACAGACTGAGTATTTGCAGGAAAGTATTAGAAAAATAAACACAAATTTGATATTTGATAAGGAGATAGCTCTAGTGCTGCAAGCGCCTAGAAAAATACCAGATTCTCAAAAATGTTATATTAAGGGGTTAAAATTGACCAGCTTGACAGCTAAGTGTACTTATTTAAAAGGGACATAACTACGTCAGGAATTAAAAATTGTAATTCCCCCAGATATTTGACAACATACAAAAAAAGTGATAAAAACGTGGATAAAAACAAAATCCGTTTTCAAAATAGGGCGTGAAAATTAAATCATGTTTAGTCTAATAATTAATATCTGATACATGGCTGATGTAAAAAAAAAATATTAGTGCATTTGGTGCGCATTTTACGAGGGAAAATGGTATTTACTTTTAAATAGAGCATTGCAAAGTTATTTTTACTACTACTATTTAATAGCTAAAGAGGTTATTCATTTAGAACAAAGTATTAATGAGGAAACTCAAAGAAAGAAAAAAGAGCAAACAATTTCAACCTTAATGGGATAATTAATTCACTTAACTCCTACAATCTAGGATAATCACAAAAAAATCTCTATAATTTAATTTTAGCCCAGAATAGATAAAGTTTAAAAATTGTAACATCAGTCTTTAAAATGACAAGATTCCCTGTATATTAAAAAAAAAAAAAAACAACCCACAATTTTTGTGGGTTGTTTTTTGTAGCAATTAAACATTCCTTTTATAACATTTTGCCACATTAAAATTGATCATATATGAGTGACAAATGCCAAACATTGTGATATATTATTAAACCATTAAAAAAAGCAACAATGATTCAACCCAAGCTTCAGTTCTGAGCTTAATGGAAGGAAGTTTAAAATTTCCAAGATAGGAAGGTGTCACATAGCATTTGTAATTTTTAAAACTATCTGTTTTTAAACCGTTTAGTTCAGTTAAAGTAGATGCTCTTTTAGATTGAATATCAAAATTTGACTATTGTCTTATGCAATAACTCACTGTCCTTTATTTGAGCCTGCTTGTACACCCCCTCCCCAACAGCTGAAAGGCCTGTTGTGACAAATCCGTATCCATCTTATCTTCCACCCCCCACCAAAAAAAGAAAATTCTACAGAGATATAAGCAGACTATTGAAATAACACTGACAGTATTATTGTACAAATATAAGACAAAAATCTTCAGCATTTTATTTAAGTGTTAATCAATTATCTGTTTGCACTGTTGTTTTCAATGATAGTAACTGAAGTAGTGAGAGTTACTTTACTTAGTAAAGTTATAATGAATTAATTTAGGTCTTTGCTACGTTTCAAGTGAATTATAGGCCTATTTATTTTATATGTTGAACTTGTTTAAGAAATAAAATTTATAAAATAGTTATTGGTCAAAACGCAATGTGCATTACTATGTGCTGAACGATATTAGTGACAAAGCAAAGAAATAACTAATTAGTTAAAAATCCGACACATTTAACATAACACGGGCACACACTGATTAAGTGACTTAAATGATTCCGTTAAAAACTGGGCTATTTCACAGTATTCTTCTTGTTTTTAAAGTGATTTAGTTTTATTAGGTTTTTATGAATAGATCTATAGATTTAAATGAAATAGTTCATTTCTTAATTGGTAACCATACCGTATTAAATGCACTCGCAGATTAAGATACTTAAAATTAAGAGACTTAAAAGATTTCTTTAAAAACCAGCTGTTCAATGGTAGTTATGTTGTTTTTAGTAGAGTGTCTAAATCCAGATCCTAGCGTCGAGAGCTAGATCTACATCTAGAATCCAAATAGATAAAGTAAAAACTTATAAAAGTTTAGGCCGAGAAAATCGTATTGTATACATTTCATAGCGTATGTAGCTCTAAATCATATTTAAATGAAATAGTTCATTTCTTTATTTTATTCTAAACTCGGAAAATGACGTCATTAGTTTCGTACTCTTTTTTTTAGTGTAAACATAAAGTGACGTCATTGTTAAATGCGCTCTTGTCCCAACTATAAATGCTTTTCTGGTTGCATAATTAAAATTGTTTTTATACATTCGAATACGCCTTTATTTGCTACGTTTCAAGTGAATTATAGGCCTATTTATTTTATATGTTGAACTTGTTTAAGAAATAAAATTTATAAAATAGTTATTGGTCAAAACGCAATGTGCATTACTATGTGCTGAACGATATTAGTGACAAAGCAAAGAAATAACTAATTAGTTAAAAATCCGACACATTTAACATAACACGGGCACACACTGATTAAGTGACTTAAATGATTCCGTTAAAAACTGGGCTATTACACGGTATTCTTCTTGTTTTTAAAGTGATTTAGTTTTATTAGGTTTTTATGAATAGATCTATAGATTTAAATGAAATAGTTCATTTCTTAATTGGTAACCATACCGTATTAAATGCACTCGCAGATTAAGATACTTAAAATTAAGAGACTTAAAAGATTTCTTTAAAAACCCGCTGTTCAATGGTAGTTATGTTGTTTTTAGTAGAGTGTCTAAATCCAGATCCTAGTGTCGAGAGCTAGATCTACATCTAGAATCCAAATAGATAAAGTAAAAACTTATAAAAGTTTAGGCCGAGAAAATCGTATTGTATACATTTCATAGCGTATGTAGCTCTAAATCATATTTAAATGAAATAGTTCATTTCTTTATTTTATTCTAAACTCGGAAAATGACGTCATTAGTTTCGTACTCTTTTTTTAGTGTAAACATAAAGTGACGTCATTGTTAAATGCGCTCTTGTCCCAACTATAAATGCTTTTCTGGTTGCATAATTAAAATTGTTTTTATACATTCGAATACGCCTTTATTTTTTATCTTACAACATATTATTTTCAACAAAAGTCCGTATAAAGGTATCCATATATTGCTGCAGATTCTGACGTGATATCCGGCGAAAATATTTTGCGGACAAAGAGAGAGAGAGAGAGAAGTGCGCACATGGGCTTTTATATATTAGGATATTTATTCTTTTGCCTTGTTTATGCAGAATCGACAAAAAAACTAAAGCAGAAAATTTTGAAGGGGCGGTTATATCTGATTCCTATACTGCACAAAAAATATGCTACAATGATCGACACAAGTAATATTTCAGAACAGTTTACAAAATTTTCTGTTTTCTTTTTAAAATTCCAGGACATCCTGAAATTTCAGGAGACCACGAGAACCCTGTAGGTCATAGCAATAAGACAAACATGCTTGAGGTCAGAGTGAGTTCATATAACCATGTTAGCGGGAGAGATATTTAGCCACACTGTTAATGTAAGGGTAATACCTTCCTAAATTTAACACTTTGTATTGTTAATTTGTAGAAATATTTACAAAGTATATGTAAGGGGGCATAGGGTTAATTTATATTTTATTAGGCCTAAGTGATTTTAATTAGGCCTAGGCCTATAAACACTTCTAAAAATAAACACAATTGATATTTATTCAATGAAAACAAAATCATGGGCGCCAGCAATAATACACATTTTCTTTGCAACAATACGTGCATACATTGCCATGTTTGTGGCAGCTGAGGCTTCAAGCAGAGATGTTCAAGGGCAATATTAATGAATATTGCGTGCGGTTTTGGTGTTCCAAACATAAAAAAGAAGTGGATCTTCCTTCAGCACGTATAACGATGGAAACAAAGTTCAAATGCTAGGCTCCTATATTTTAATATTTTTGGGCTGTTTCGAACAAGGTGGTAAATCATCAGCGTCAGAAAAAAACAGAGTTAAATAGTTAAACGATCTAGTTAAATGTAAATCGGATGCAGTAAGGCCTATGGATTTTTGCAGACTCTTCGCATTCTGATGCTGGGTGAGGTAAGACGCGGTTTTCGTACCCTTCTCGCAATTTACCAACAAAGTGGCAACACTCAACACTCTCATTTTTCAACTCACATGATTTGATTCATCACATTAGTCACTCACAACTACTTCAACTTTAACTAGGGTCTAGATTACTCTGATCTAGATATCTAGTCTAGAGTCTAGATTTACTTATTTTCTAGTTTGTTTTTTTTCTAGTTTAAGTTGTTGTTAGAATAGGCCTATTTACGGTAATCTATCGTTTTGGGTACGTAAAATCGCCAGCGGCTATTAATGTACGAAAACGTTACCTCATTGTCAAGGCTTTAATAGGAGTATATTGTCATATGTTTGTGTCAAATATTATAGATAAATGAATAATAAACCTAAATCAATGGCTAAATATATCGATATAGGCCAGAAATTAATTTTAAACAGCAGTGTCTGAGAGCAAGATTTGCTATATAAACAGCAGCCATTTGTAAAATAGATTGGCTTCCCCCTGAATCTGCCGCTAAAAGCTTATAAAAATAAAACTTAAACAAGTTGGCTGCTATAGTAAATGAGCATGGTTGCATCTGTTGGAAACATCGCTAGTCTTCATTTATTACGGAAAAGTTTTAATTCAATTGTTTAAAAACAGGTACATAAATGAAACAAGGAAACATTTTTGTATTTTAAAAAACATAAATCCTCCTCAAAATGTGAAATAATTATTATTATTAAAATTTAAGGAGTCACCTGGTTTTCACATTACAAGTCGCGGGCGATTTTACGTACCCAAAACGATAGATTACCCTATTTACTAGTATTTCTCGCTAACTTGGAGGCGTGGTCGGTTGCTAACAACAATATGGCGCCCGGACCGGACGTTTGATTTCCGGCGATTTTTCTGCCAAATTCCAGAGACCTTCAACTAATTACATTTAAAATGTTTACCACGCGCAAAATGGCGGGATTTTTATGTCATAACAACAAACCATAGGTGGCAGGGTTAGATATGCCAGAAAAGCATTTTAAAATTTGGTTTGGAGAACGGAGGCTAAATTCAAAAGTTGGTTTCATTAAAATTAATAGAATTTAAAAAATATCAACAGTGTAGGTACAGAAATGAGCGAGAACGTAAAGCATTATTAGTTTTATCAGTCTATGAAAAAAGAAATCAAATATTGTGAGCTGTTTTTTTATAAGACCGGCGTCCGTATCACAACCAATTTATTTTTATTTTTTAAAAACCACGTGACCGCTATTTGATGATTACTAGTGAGGAACTCTGGGTGCATGGCCACTTAAAAAGTCTAACCTGATTTGTGGTTTTCTTTAGCTTCAAGCTTAAGAAGAGTTGTCATGGAGAGATGTGTTGGACATTGCAGTGATTGACAATAAATATTAAATTAAGTAATTTAGTTTAAAACGAACTAAAAACCCCAAAGTTAGTGCCTAATGGATTAAATATGGATGTCTATTATTCAGTGGTCATGTTTAAATTGATAATTGCGTAAATTCTAGATTAGATTTAGTGAGAAAAACTACTAGAACTATTTACTATTACTATTATTTAATATTTAGTTTAGCCTGCCAATGACCAACTTCAACTGAATTTGTCTAATTTTTATCTAGCACATCTGAAACTTAAGTGATAGAGGATATAGATCTAGTAAAACTTACGATTAATAGCTTATAAACTAAACACAACGGTGTGTACTGTGTTTCAGGTTGACGTATTTACGTAGTCATTGTTGTCGATCGTTTGCTCATTACCGATACCGGAAGTTGCTTTGGCCAGGATGTTTACAAAATCCAAGAATAATATACTAAATAGAGCCAAACTAAATACATGTTTTCTTAACACTTTTAAGTTTTTACCCTGTTATAACTAGTAAACCTGTTTGAATGAGTTTATTATAATAGACTTTTTCTCAATATGAAACTTTTTTAAGATTTAAGAAGTGTTCTATAATGAATAAAAACGTTTCTGTTATAGCGTACTTTATTGGCCCAGTTGACCGATCTTGATTGATAATGACATGGTCATCGAGCAAAAAACGTGTTTTGTACACTTCGTCTTCTGGGTAGCCTTTTAAAAATCAAAATGTAAAACTTAAGTTGAAAAAAAAAGGAAAAGAAATTTAAATTTCAAAGATTTTTTTTTTGGGATGGGGTCATCCATAAATGACGTCACACTCGTAGGGGGGAGGGGGGGGGGGGGGTCCGTAATTTTGTGACGATGTGTGATGAGGGGGAGGGGGGGGGGGGGGGGTTCAGATGTTGCGACGTCACATTTTTGCATTATAAAAAAGCAATGTTAGAAAACGAATTTTAGACGTTATTTTGCGTTTTAGGTAACTGTTTTAATAAATTGTAATAGTTTAGACAAGATTTTGGAAAAATATCGATGTTTTAAGAAAATTCAACTGGGGTTGTAGGTTGAGGTGTGACGTCATTTTAGGGGGGGGGGGTCTGACTATTTGTGACGACGTGTGACGGAGGGGAGGGGGGGGGAGGTAAAAATCGTCCAAAAAAGCGTGACGTCATTTATGGATGACCCCGGTACAATTTGACGTCGTTGAAGACTAAGGGTAAGGCGTGATAAAATCTGCAAATGTAATTTGCGAATGTTGGTCATTTTAGCAGCTAAATAAAAAAAATACAGGGTCTTTTATCATACACACACACCACACGCACGTATAGCTGTATATGTATATTCATATTTTCAGTTATTTTTTGTTTGAAGTTTTATTTACGAAAATGAAATTGAAAATTTACGGTCTAAGGGAAATAACCAAAACATTATTTTAACTCTGTAATTTAGCCGAGGTTACTGCGCTTAAATTGAAGTAAATCCAGAAAGAAAAGCAAACATCAGTCGGAGTCAACTCCCAATTCAGATGGCGCATAAAATATTATAATTAATAATGTTGAAGAAAATACCCTCTAATAATACAACTAATAACGAATAAGATTATTTTAAAAAATATAACTAATAGTATTACCTGTATGTATAAAACATTTACAAGGCTCTTGAATAAAACATGAGATTACCAAAACTTTAATTGTGGGCTATTCAGTTTATATAAACAATGTATGTATTTAAGTTACATGTTTTTTCCACAACAAAAGGGACTCAAAATATTTTAGCGAGATAGCTTAAATAATTTAATGTCTATTTCCTTATTTCCCAAAAGTGTCGCATTAACCTCAAAACAGAAAAAAAAAGAAAAAAAAAAGAAAATAGTTATTTCATTCGTAAATTACAGTTAACAAACTAGACCTTGTAAATTTATTTTAATTACAAGTACTTTTGTTTGTAGGTAAAGCTGAACTTCGACTAATATCCTCGTTTCCTGATACTGAAAGTATTTTTGTTTGGTTTTTTTTTTTTTTTTTTTTTTTTTTTTTTTAATATTTGATTATCAGCTCTTAATCGTGTAATATTCAGCAAATAGTAAATATATGATTTTTTTTAAAATTAAAAAAAAAATTTTAAGCGAGTCTCTGCATATTAAAGTAAAAAATATTTTATGATTCTTTCCCTTAGACCATGTATTTTCTTTTTTCGTTTTTTTAAAACTATTATTCTCGTTTCCTGTATTTTTGTGTAAGGTTTTTGAGAAAGGTTAAGATCATTAACTTTTTATATTCAAAGAATTTTAAGCTTGTGCCTTATTTCTTAATAATAAACTTTTCTCCTACAAATATGACTTAAAATATTTTAAGGGATGTAATCTCTGCAAAACTATTAAACGATAACATTTTTATGGTTATTCCCCTTTGACCATGATTTTTCAAAAACTCTAGACGAGATTTTGGAAAGTTGTTTTCACGAAATGAAATTGCAAATTTACGGTCTAAGGGAAATAACCAAAACTTTGTTTTTATCTTGTAGTTTAGCCGAGGCTACTGCGCTTAAATAGAAGTAGCTTTATGTGCAAAAAATAAATAAGAATAAAAGAGTTCTAACAACATTTACAGTATGTACACTATAGTTATACACGCATCTCATATTTATATTATTTATACATTATTTTATGTGTTATTTATACTATTAATATTTTATTAACATGTTTGAAATTATTCTTTAATGCTCTAATGATAACATATGAACATATAAAATGCACCTATGGGGTCATCCATAAATGACGTCACGCTTTTTTGACGATTTTTTACCTCCCCCCTCCACTCCGTCACACGTCACAAAAAGCCAGACCCCCCATCTAAAATGACGTCACACCTCAGCCTATACCCCCCCCCCCCTCAAAATTGCAGTTGACATTTTTCTCAAAAGATCGACATTTTTCAAAAATCTTGTCAGAAATCTGTCAACAGAGTATTTTGAATTACATTTTAACAAAACATTTTCTAAAACGCGAAATAACGGCTAAAACTCGTTTTCTAACATTGCTTTTGTATAATGCATAAGTGTGACGTCACACCATCTAACCCCCCCCCCCCTCCCCCTCACCACACACCATCACAAAATTACGGACCCTCCTCCCCCCAACCCTACGAGTGTGACGTCATTTATGGACGATCCCTATAATGTTTCACAAACACTTATTGATATTACACATACAATAAAATGAACGTAATTTAAAACCGAGAAGGCAACACTACTTCGCGGTCTTTCACTTTTCATTGTTCTGGTCACTATTTACCGTGATAACAGAAGGAATAACCAGTGGCGTAGCCAGGAATTGGTTATGGGAGGGGTTCAAATATTTTTCTATATGTAAACAATATATATATATATATATATATATATATATATATATATATATATATATATATATATATATATATATATATATATATATATATATAGGGGTCCATGGGAGGGGTTATAACCCCCTAGCCCCTCCCCTTGCTTACGCTACTGGGAATAACTGTAGGTGACAAAGATTCTCGGGTAGCTACATCACATAGTGACGCACTTTTAACATTACGGTGCGCATATAATTGGAAAAAAAAGTTTGAACATAGAAATCTTGGTGCAAAGGAAATTTTAAAAAAAGTTTGCGAAAAATAAATAGATTTTATTTTCTTTTAATTTTATTCCAACGTGAGTCAACTTTAATCAAGTGTATTAATTTGTTTTAATGGAAATCTGAATAATGAAAAAAAAAATTCAAACACTCCATAATGAAAAGCGATTAAAGAATAGATCGTTAGTGTACTGAATTCTAGACCACGATCTACAAACTTGTAGACATTTGTACATTTTTATCGAGGTAGGCGAAACCAATTTTAATAATTTGATTTAGATCTAGACTAGATTCTAGATCTAGATCTAGATCTAAGTTTAAATAGCTAGGTCTTTCAACCCGTTTAAATAGCTAGTTCTTTCAAAATATACAGGTAAAAATATTAGAAACAGAGCCATGCATCTCTTCGCCCCCCCCCCCCCCCCAAGAGACACCCCGAAGGAAAAAGTCTGAAAGAAACACTGATTAGGAATGGCAACGGCTGCTTTATAAATTTATGATTTCTTAGTGATTAAAACCTCGAGAACTAATTGACTGTATAGATTTTATTGGATAGTTACAATAACAAGAGGAACGGTGTTTTTAATTGCCGAATGTTGAAGTTTTGTTCGTACGTAAAGAATAGGAGCAGGAAATAATATCGCGTCGAGTTGTTTTACCTACTGTTTAGGATTAATATAGCGCAATGGTTAAGGATAGATTTAGGGTTAGGGTGATGTGTTATGTACGCATAAAACAAGAACCGAATTTTTCTTTTCATATTTCTTTTTTTTTTAATGCGTGCTTTTAATTTTTTGCATTAGTTGGTGTTCGTATTTTATTTATTCTAAGGCGTTTTCAACTAATATTTTTTTTTAAATCCACATTTAATTGTATTGAATGTTTTTTAAATTTTTTTTTTATCAAATGAAGCTTCAATATACTCCAGTAACTGGGTTTTCATTTAAATTTCACAATTTTTTATTTAGGGTTCATCCATAAATGACGTCACGCTTTATTTTACGATTTTTTACCTCCCCCCTCCACTCCGTCACACAATGTCACATAAAGCCAGTACCCCCCCCCCCGTAAAATGACGTCACACTTCAGCCTACAACCCCCTTCAAAATTGCAGTTGAATTTCTCATAAAACATCGATATTTTTCCTAAATCTTGTCGGCTCTATGTCAACATAGAGTATTTTAATCAATTCCTTTTATAATTTATTAAAAACAGTTTCCTAAAACGCAAAATAACGGTAAACATTCGTTTTTATAATGCAAAAGTGTGACGTCACACCCTCTGAAACCCCCCACCCCCACCCTTCCCAATTAATCACACACCGTAACAAAATTACGGACCACCTACGAGTGTGACGTCATGTATGGACAACCCCTTTCTTCTATGTCTGGGTGTGTCTGTTCCCTTTATTCCAGAAAGTTCTCTTGTTACACTGCACGATAATGTTGTATATCTTTCCCCGCCACAGAATGTTCCTGTTTAGCCTCTTGGCCTTTCTACTGTCAGTTGGTGAACATGAGCTGAGAAATTACGGTAAGGATTAGCAAACATTGGAAGGACATGAGGACACAGGTAGCTTAATATACGGTTGTAGTGTAGGACGGGGGTGGTCGGAGCTTATGACTGCTAATCCTAACGTCTCGAGTTCGAATCCCGGGTGCGTGTGAGTAGAATGTTCAAATGCATATAATATATATATATATATATATATATATATATATATATAGCCTATATAAATATATAAGTATATACATATGCATATGCATATATACATATATACATATATACATATATATATATATATATATATATATATATATATATATATATATATTTATATATATATATATATATATATATATATATATATATGCATATATATGTATATGCATATGTATATACTTATATATTTATATAGTCCATATATATATAAATTATATATATATATATATATATATATATATATATATATATATATATATATATATATATATATATATATATATATATATATATATATATATATATATATATATTGATTTATAACGTGTTATTGTAAACTATTTTATATTTATTTTGTATGCAGACGTGAACACAACGCTAGGGTCACATTTTCTTTTCGCATTTTCCAAGTTGTTTGCTGAACGTAAGGACGTGTTCTTCTTCCTCTTCTCGTTATCTGCCACGGAAATAGAGGCAAGCACTTCCTGTTTCCTTTTGTCTAATGACGTTCTTCCTGTTTCCTTTTGTCTAATGACGTTCTTTCTGTTTCCTTTTGTCTAATGACGTTCTTCCTGTTTCCTTTTGTCTAATGACGTTCTTCCTGTTTCCTTTTGTCTAATGACGTTCTTTCTGTTTCCTTTTGTCTAATGACGTTCTTCCCGTTTCCTTTTGTCTAATGACGTTCTTTCTGTTTCCTTTTGTCTAATGACGTTCTTCCTGTTTCCTTTTGTCTAATGACGTTCTTTCTGTTTCCTTTTGTCTAATGACGTTCTTTCTGTTTCCTTTTGTCTAATGACGTTCTTTCTGTTTCCTTTTGTCTAATGACGTTCTTTCTGTTTCCTTTTGTCTAATGACGTTCTTTCTGTTTCCTTTTGTCTAATGACGTTCTTCCCGTTTCCTTTTGTCTAATGACGTTCTTTCCTTTTGTAATGACGTTCATCTTTCTGTCCTCGTTATCCGCCATGTTAATTTATTTTTGGTCAAATAGTTGCTGAGCAAGGCTATACCATAACCGCTGGTAAATCTAATGAGATCCCATAGAATCTAAGACATGCCTGTTTCATAACCACCTTGGCTGTTCCCACTGGATTAGACCAGTGTTTTTCCAGACTTTTTTTCTTCGGGGGTGTGGGAGCACTTGAAATTTTGGGGGGGGGGGGGGGGAGGGGGCGGACTAAAATTTCCAGGGAGGGGGAGGGGGACACTGTTAAAAGTATATTTCCTATATAAATTCCATTTCGTTCGGGGGGGGGGGGGGGGTGGTAGACTTTCTTCGTGAGAGTGGGGGATTTCTTTTGGAGGGGGGGGGGGGCGGTAGACTTTCTTCGTTGGGGGGGGGGGGGGGACCCCCGAAGAAATCACTGGAAGAAACTCTGAATGGCACCAAGACTTGTGAATTAACAAATTATCCCCCCTCCCAACATCCCTGGCCACAAATCAGCAACAACAATTGTCTTGTCTAAATTGTCTCTTTGAACCATCCGTGTATTTGTCCACCCCCTGCTGTGTACCCTGTAGTTATATCCTACAACTGGCTACGGATGTTCACCTGAAGTTAAATGTGGACTTTTTGCACTAGGTTGTCATCACGACGCCCTGGGGGGAGGATGCTTCGTTCAGTGAGCAAAGAACTATTCGTCGTCTGGAGGTGGTGACATACCAGCTGTCGATGGCTTACATGTGAGTTCGTGTGGTCGAATGGTCAAGTGATTGACTGCTAACCCGCAAGACTCGAGTTCAGATCCACCCAACTCTGATAGGTAGCTGACTAATTGACAGATGCGAATTTTGGTGTGGTCGAGTGGTAGAGCGCTTGACTGCTAACACGAAAGTCTAGAGTTTGGATCCCAGGCCTTGAATCCATCCAACTCTGATGGGTACCTGAATCATTGACATGTGAGTTAGAATCTTAGTGTGGTCGAATGGTCAAGTGATTGACTGCTAACACGCAAGTCTCGAGTTCGGATCCACCCAACTCTAATGGGTACCTGACTCATTGACATGTGAGAAGTGTGGTCGAATGGTAGAGCGCTTGACTGCTAACACAAACGTCTCAAGTTCGGATCCGCCCAACTCTGATGGGTACATGACACACGTTAGGGAAAGTACAACTTTGTGCTGAGCACTCTATCCCTTCATATACCGAAATCACTGAAACAGATGAACACTTCTTTATCTGAATCATGAACCGTAGCGTTTAGAAATTTACTCTGTGCTTCCTTATTATCGGCCAATTCTGTTTCTTCTGACGTATATCATTTGTATCGCTGGACATTGTTCTGTATTTTAAAGATACATCTCTTGCTTAAAAATTCTGGAACTTACCAGAAGCCAAGAAAGAGTAGGGCGTAGTGAGGGAAGGAGGCGCTACATTGATTGTTCTCCCGGTGTGCGGGAATCAGTCGCTTAGTTTTCGGAGATTTACCCTTTTTTAAATGTAAAAAGCACTTTAAAAAATTGAAGTTGAAAATTAGTCTGTAAGTTGGGTCTGACTAGTGCTTGGGCAATGGTTAGAATAGCGATACAAGAGAGGAAAAACACTGTCAATTTATTCCGAAGACGCACGAAGCAGCTCTTCGCTTGACAATGTAAAAAACAAAAAATGTCATGTCGCTCTAGGTCCGACGTTGAAATCGGCACCAAGTACAGCTACAGGATAGAAGGTCAGGGTCAGTTCGGCCTTATCGTGTTCCTGGCAAGCGGATTGTTCCAGGCCGACTCTTTTACCGTCCTGCCAGTCATCAGCTGGGGGAAGAAGTACCTGGCAGTGACATTCAAGTAAATTTTTTTATCAGATAGAAATTTTTTAGGGGCAGACTTCAGGGGAGTTATTTAAAATAAATTTTTAGGGATATATATATATATATATATATATATATATATATATATATATATATATATATATATATATATATATAAACAGTGCTTCATTTGTTAAATGAACGGTGCTGGTACTCTCTGATGGATTACCAATGACTTAACACTACGAGTGTGCGTGGAAAGCAGTTTTGCATTTTATATTTTAATTGTTATTGCGCGCATTTAAAAAAATCAGTTTTAATGAATTAATAATATGACAAATGAATAATAAACGTTAAAGTACAAGAAAAGAAATAATTTGTTCCTCACATTGAAAAAGGTGCAGGTACGCCGTACTGATGCGTACCGTCACAAATAAACCGGGAGTGATCTCCCCTAAACTTTCTCGAATATTCTTATATAAAATAACAGGGGATGGGAACTCGGGCTATAGACATGATTTTTAATCCATTTTAAATACTTAAAGTTTTAAAAATAGAATAAAATCTCGTAGACAAATTAATTGCACACCAAGTGAACGCGAAATAAAAAAGCGCATAATAGTGCGCAATATTATTATTACTTTTAAAATTTACATTAGTTTTTTGAGAAATCGGAAGTAGCGTAAAGTACTACTTCCAGTCAACGGAAATGACTCAAAATTTAATAGAAGGTAGAGAATTAGATCTTTTACTTACGTATGAAATTTCATTTATCTATCTGAAATAGTACTCAAGTTATAGGCTTTTGAAAAATTCAAAGTAGGAAAAGTACCACTTCCGGTTATCGGAAATCGCTCAAAAGTTGATACGGATCTACGATTTTGATAAAATACTTATATATGAAATTTCATCAACCTAGCTGTAACGGTACTCAAGTTATCGTGTTTACACACGGACACACACACACACAGACACACACACAGACACACAGACATACGGACAAGATTGCAAAATTATGTTTTTCCGTATCAGTGAGATGCAAAACGTCGAGATTTGCAAAAATCTCGATTTTTTTTTTTTGCACGATTACAAGACTTTCTCTATACTTCGTATATACGAGAAAGTAAAAAGCACTGAATATATATTCATGTATATATTTATAACTCTCTCTCTCTCTCTCTCTCTATATATATATATATATATATATATATCTATATATATATATATATATATATATATATATATATATATATATATATATATATATATATATATATATATATATACATATATATATATGTGTGTGGGTGTGTATGGGTGTGTGTGTATGTGTGTGTGTGTGGGTGTGTGTGTGTGGGTGTATGTGTTTGTGGGTGGGTGTGTGTGTGTGGGTGTGTGGGTGTGGGTGGGTGTGTGAGTGGGTTTGTGTGTGTGTGTGTGTGCTAGTGTGTGTCTTTTAACGATATAATTACATCGATTGTTATTACGAAATCGATGATCCAATAAAAAAAAATCTCAGTTAACTCATGAATTTTTAACATCTCTGTTCCACCGAGAATGTTTGTTTCATGAACCTCTTACCGCAGTGGTTCCCAACCTTTTTCGAGTGGCGACCCCCTTTTATAAAAAGTATGTGACCCGCGACCCCCATAGAATTAAAAAGCCGAAATTAGTATGGAAATTAATAAGCACTAAAATAAGATTTTCTAGTAGACTTTCAATATGAACTACTCTTGATAACTATTTTAATAGCATGAATAAAATTGCATACTATTCACTAAATCTTCGTGGTTAAGTTTTTAATTAAACATTTTTTTTGTTAACGCCAACCTATGTCATTATAATTATCTTCATTTTGTTTTTGATTTGTTTCTGCAAATCAAAGAATTCATCTTGTAATTCATCGGGAATGCTGGCAACATTAAGGGAAGAAGAGAATGGGTAATGCGTAAATGCAATTCTTCATTTTTCAGCTCAGAGAAATAGCGATGCAGTTCGTTTTCAAGAGATTCAAGATGCTCAGAAATCGCTTCTTTCAAAATTTTAATTATCTCACAATCAGATTCATCTACCACACCGCAGAGTTTCTCAAATTTACAATATTTCCAAGATTTATTTTATTTACCGATTTTGCAGCTTTGATAAAAATGCCCCGAGATTATCATGGAAAGTTGTAATATTCGTTCATTTTCCCTGAAGCTTCAGGTTAAGCTTATCTTGATGTTCGAATATATCTGCTAGGTATGATACTCTCTCCAACCACTCTATGTCGTTTTAAGTATACCAAAAAAGTCTTGTTTCCTTTACACTTCCAAGAACAATTTGATTTCATATTTCAATTAAAAAACACAATTAACAACATTTTGTTTGACAGCCAGCGTACTGTAGTGTAGAAGAGCAGAACCTCGTGATCTTTATTAATGTTTTTGCTCAGTTCTTTGAAGGCTCCAGATTTTATATAATTTACGACTTATACTAGCAATGGACTCTTGATGTCGATTGGTTAGGGCAGTGGTTAGGGAGCTAAATCTTTTCTACTTTCTGAAAGCCCGATTTTGAGATAAACATAGATGGCGCACCATCCGTACAACCCCCCATAGCCGTTCTAACCCATTTTAATCATCCAATTTCAAAAAAGGTATTTATTTTCTCCATGCTATCTTCACAAAAGAGCAACTCTTATTTGCTATCATCCGCATGAATATAGACACAGACCAGCAACTGCGAACACGA